TTAGAAAGCTCTGCGCGGCAGTTAGAAAGCTCTGCGCGGAGGTTTCTAGCGATGTGCGCGGCCGCGCACGCGCGCACCTTAGAGGGAACAGTGACAATATTGCCTTCTTGCAAAACTTTTTTTTTTTAAAACCACCTCTTTAACAAAGGTTATTTTCAAGTCTGACTCAGCCTTCCGAGGTTGGTAAAATGGGGACCCAGATTGTTGGGGGCAAGAGGCTGACTCTGTAAAACCACTTAGAGAAGGCTGTAAAACACGGTGAAGTGTTATATAAGTCTAAGTGTTATTGCTATTATCTTAGTTTTTGGAACAATGCTACACCTCCTCTTTTGGCCTTGCATTGATAAATTCCTTAATGGTTTTCCAGCGAAGGCTGGCAGCTGGTTTTGGCCATCAATCCAGAGAAGAGAGCTTTTGCTATGTACCATCTAATCCAAATGATGTTTCTGCCTGGAACTTCAGGCTGGCTTTTGCTCCTTCTGTAGCTCTTTTAAAGAGTGGCGCTGCATCTGCTTTACCATCTGTTAGCTCACTCTATTCTTATCAGAAATATATGTAGTGGGAAACAATTGTTTTGTTTTGACATCAAGCTTTTTTATTTAGATAATTATTTTGAATTGCTTTTGTTTTAGATACTACAAATAACAGCAGATTATATTTTATGCTTTCATTTAGTCTTGCTTTGAGGTGAGCCCCTTCAGTTTAAATTCAAGTGTATTGATAGACATAGCAGACAACAATAAAATGCCACTTGGAAGCTTATGTGAACCCAATTAATAAAAATGACCTGCAAGGGTTTCAGTCCCAGAACTGAACTTGCTAGGTCAGGAAAATGCACTAAATATCTGATCATTGTGAAGAGGAGCTACGATAACTTGTGCAGGACAGTCAGTAATGCAAAGGAGATGAACCAGAGCCCCATAAGCCACAGCATCCATACCTTGTTGTTATTCCTAAATATGGTTTGTTCAGCCAGATGATTTAAGTTTTCTTTGGTAGCTAATATTTAAAACTGCTGATGTTTTTTTTCTTGCTGTTACCCCACTCGTCTCTTCATAAGCAAATATCTAATCTAGTTCCAAATGTACTATCAGGCCTGGTTTGAATTCCTTGGACCCATTTCTTTGCTCTTTGCTGAGGCATTCTAAGCTATATAACAGACTTAAGGGTGTAATGGGACGTGGTGGCTTAGTAGCTAAGATGCTGAGTTTGTTGATCAAAAAAGTTGGCAGCTCGGTGGTTCGAATCCCTAGTGCTGCATAATGGAGTGAGCTCCCATTACTTGTCCCAGCTTCTGCCAACCTAGCAGTTCAAAAGTATGTAAAAATGCAAGTAGAAAAATAGGGACCACCTTTGGTGGGAAGGTAACAGCGTGTACCTTCAGCATTTAGTCATGCTGGCCACATGACCATGGAAACGTCTTCGGATAGCACTGACTCTTCGGCTTTGAAATGGAGATGAGCACCTTCCCCTAGAGTCGGGAATGACTAGCACATATATGCGAGGGGAACCTTTACCTAGCATTGCCTGCTCATAGTCACCTACTTCAATTGTCAGGTTTCCTTGGA